GCCAGCAACGTTTCTTCTTCAACTAATTCTATAGCTTCAACCTCTATAAATCCTAAAAATTTTACTGAGTCGATTTCTCCAACTTCAAACAACAAACATGAATTAGTATTGAAATCCCTTTTGAAATTGTTTGCTGATAAACGAGCTCAGATAACATATTTCTCTATGAACAACGTGCCTACTTTATTGCTTAACGATAATTATTTTGAGAATTTAAGAACAATAAATTTTGGTACGGTATTGATGGATACGGGTATACGACCATTATTCGAAGGTATTCGATACATGAATTTGGAATGGGATGCTTTGTCGTTGGATGGATTTTTATATGCTCTTGGGAATGTTTGCAAGAATTTGGTGAGTGGTTTTTATGAATTTTAATTGAAATTATATAAAGTTTTGGTTAATACGTTAATTTTACATTAATTAATACGTTAATTAATACGTTAATTAATACGTTAATTAATACGTTAATTAATACATTAATTAATACGTTAATTAATACATTAATTAATACGTTAATTAATACGTTAATTAAAATTTTTTTTTGGTCATTATACTTAATTATACTTGTATTTTACAGGATTCCTTGTCAACAAATTTTGCGCATGACCCAGTATCTTCATCTCTATTTTTAAACAAACAACAAGCCACCGATCTAGCAATATTTATTTGTTCTCAAACTTCTCTATCCTCATTCATTCTCCAAAATTATCAATATTTCACCAATTATTTTTTGGAATCCTTAAACACCCAGATTAACTCCTTAAAACGACTCGAATTTTATGCCGTAGACTTTGAAGGTTGTACTTTTGAAGTGGTGGCAAGTTGTAAACAATTAGAATATTTAAGTATTGTGGAATGTATGAATATTACCTTCGATATGTGTTTACCTTTGTTTTACACTAAATTTTCGAGACTAAGAAGAGTTGAAGTTATGGATTGTAGTAGATTTATCGAGAAACAGACAATTTATGATGATGATGATTTTGAAATTCCGGAAAGTCCTAAAAGTAGCGATTCTGAATGTGATGATGATGATGATTATTTTAGAATTGATACTTCATCTATGCCTTCGGTACGGAACGGTGGTGTAAGTGAGCCGACAATTTTATTAAAATTAAGAGATGATCCATCAATGGAGTACCATACTACTTTAAAAACCTCAACGGTTTTATTAAAACCGTCATCATCACAAAATAAATATATGTTTTCAAAATTTGATCGGAAAATACCTGCTTCAACAAGACATCATATAGTATTACATTCTAGTAATCCGAATTTCACGACTTCTCTTCCTATAGAACTTCTTAAATGGGCTCAATCAAAAAATCACCCCGTTCCATGGTATCATGTTGATCTTTCTCTTTCTAATATTCTTTCTTATTTTACTTTTGAAAACATAAGAGATTTCTTTAAGATGTTATATTATACGGTATTATTTCTTATCGCTTTATATTTTATCGTGCCTTTTTTTGTGGGGATTGCAAATTTTATTCTTTATTACATTAAATGGAAGATCGAAACTTCGATTGGAGTAAAAATTGATTGGGGTGGTGGTGGTGGTGGAAAATGTGGTATAGGGCGGTGTTGTGGTTCTGCTGGAAATATGGATATTATTTAATATTATGTTTATTATGAATAAAATTTTAAAATTCAAAGAAAATATTATAATAAAAATTAGTGATGTTATCATACTTGTCCGAACTCGGTTTGACCCTTGCTCGAAATAACCTCGAGTTTTTGTGGTCATAAGATTTTCATTATTACATTTAAACTCGACGTGTTCAAATTGTATTTGAAATCGATTGTATGAGCAAATGTTTTAGACTTCTAATTGCTATCGTTGCCGTTGCGCTATATAAATAGTTTTTTTGTTTTGGCGAAAATTTTTTCTTTTGATTGCTATAACGTATATGACGAACAATAGTTTTTTTTTTTTTTAATATAATATATATAAATATGCAAATCCATGGACGAAGAAAGTGTCTTAAATTGAACTTGCACCAGAATAACAAATTGCCCCTAAACGATTAAAATAGATCTCTTCTGGGATCTGCCGATAATCCGGACTTGCACAAATGACGCGGGACTATTTAGTTATACAAGCTACGAGCGTACCAAACGAAGAAATGTTCTCGAAAACCAAGAATACGATTAACCCAATTCGTAACTGACTATCCAAAGAGAATGCTTGTGCAAGTCTTTGCCTAAAATCGTATGTATTGAGTGTCATTGATTGCGTGGAGGAACAATAAATAATAATTGCAATAAGATAAATGTTAACGTTAGAATATATCGATATGTTCACATATAAATGAAAACATGTATTCAATAATAATAATAACAGGTTTTAGTTTAACGGGTATAATTATTAATAGAGTTTATAAAACGAGTTTTTTATATGCGCTTTGAAACAGCGTTTAATGGCACAAACTAGCCCGTTGAAACAGGACATCTCTGATAAAAATATCTAATTAAATTTAGTGTTGTAATTTTTGATGTTTTTAATTATTCATTATTCATGAGGTAAATGTGGGGTATTATGACGAATTGAAACTTTTTACAAATAAAAGCCCGATAAAAACTTGCTTGTTTTTTTTAAGTTCATGCGGATTTTAACTTGCTTTACA